AAAAAATTTTAATAAACACTTCCGAATTAATTTATTTAAATAGAAAGAATAAATGAGATCATTAACTTATTACAATTTTTTTTAATTGAAGGACATTCTAAATAATATTAAACAGTAATAAATTTTTTAACAATTTATAATACTATAAACTTCTCAAAACTAAATATAAAAGCATGCCAAATATACTAATGCGTCTATAATATAGGCCAAGTAACGGCAAAGTTGGCAAAGCATTGCGCGCCGTTATAGCGAGTAATCTAATTTATTACAAACACGCGATCATTTGCTTACTAATAATTTTTATCGCAATGCTCAAAATTCACCTTCAGATTTCGAAACGCTTGTTTGCATTGACGTTCAAACGCGGAAGTCACGAAAAAATTCACACAAATTCTCTGAAAATGACCTTTTGCATTACAGCGTCATTAACGGTGCATTTAAGAGATTAGCTTATATTGAAATGCGCTCTCTCGCAGATCGAATACGAAAAAGCTATATAAGATTGCAAAACCATCTGCAAATTGCTAACCAAAAGATTGATTAATGAATTGTAATTATGTTGCAACCAGCAAAGCCACCATTAAATTATCTTGCGATAGATAATTGAAGTGTTATGGTCAAGCGTAAAATGCGGTCAACATGATTTGCCGGTTGTTGTTATTAGCAAGAAGTGTGACGAGTACTGAGGCGCTTACATAAGTTGGCCACATTTCGGGTAGTTTCTTTGTAACTTCTTTTTTTCTTCTTCTGTTGTTTCTTTGTAAAGTTTGTGAAATTCTTGTAAATGTTGTAATGTTGTAAATAGTATTTAAGGAAAAAATAACCTATATGTTAATATGTTTATCAAAATGCTGAAGATATCGAAATACAGCTTCCTGTGTGCCAAAAATATGGTTTTCATTGTTTGGATCTGATGAAATCAAGAGTTCGACTTAAATAAGTTCAGAGTCCACAATTGACTAACCAGAGTTTATAATTTGGCTACTGCTCATATTATAGCGAGACCATATTATATTTGAAACGACTGCTATAATCAATAAGTATTAAAATATGTAAATATAATTTTTTTTTCATAAAACGTTACTTAAACATGTAAAGTCCGGAAACAATTAACACTTTTTCAAGGAAATTAGAATATATGTATATATAGTATACATATATGGTATGTATACAAATACATATACATAAGTACTACATAAATAACTGATTAAAAAGCAAAATTATACATTCGCTATCTCTTCCTGAAGGTTTCTTATATATTACGTTACACAAGACTTCGAACACGCTAGCAAAAAGTGTAATCAGATTACTTTCTTTATGTTCTTAGCTATGCTTGCGAGTGCAATAAACAGTAAACATATGTATACACATAAAAATGTCTGAGAATTTATTTTCAATAAATATTTGCATACCTGTGTATGCAACACTGTTAAAATTTTATTATCAGCCAACGCGTCCAGAGCCCAGTCTTCAAAGTATTTTATTCGCAACGCAATTTAACGAATGTGTTTGAGACCCACAAACATAACTAATAAGTGGGTAAATATTATGAATGTGACGCGAAGACCTTACATTTACGAGCACTTGTGTAAATTTTCTATGAATTCGTTTGGGGACTGACAAGTGTGGGAGTCTTTTTGAGAGATGGCATGGAATTGAAAGCGTGAAAATGATTTATGAAGTCTAAAGAGAGAAGACGTGTACTATATATAATTTTTGGCTTTGTATCTCTCTGAGAGCATAATATATTGCAGTCATATATTTTTGTCATACCCATTGCCACTGTACCAGGGTCTAGATAAGTGAATCTATGTATATACTCGGATTTTTGCAGTATTAATCCACCGTCACTATTCATCATCAACGTCATTATCGACGATTTAAGGCTTTGCTATTGTTAATCATTGTCATTATTTGGTAATGAAAGAATAATGTCACATACATAAAATGTATTCTGATATCAAAACTCTGTAATGTTTAAGAAATTAGAGAGAGGATCATATTTTGATAAAATTGTTAGTCAGGAAAGGGCTCTGTGAACAGACGGAGTACTCTCTCCTCCATAAAATTGCTCTCTCTCTCTCTCTCTATGGCTTTATAATACTCTTTATGGGCACTTCGTACTACTAAAACACTTGCAGTTAAAAAATTAGTTCAGTTGTTTAAATTTCAACTCAACAGAATCAAGTTGCAGACCATAATATGGGTTTGTGATTAAATTACCCTTGATTTGTTGTTTTTCATTACATATATTAACCACTATTTATAAAAAATAATTTCAACTCAACTGAATTAAGTTGTAAGCCATTAAGACATAATTGTAAGAGTCTGCAATAATTTTTCTAAAACTGGTTTAGTTGTTTCAATTTCAACTCAGCTCAGCGGAGTTGTAAATGGTAAATGGTTTATACCAAATTTTTGTAAATTCCCATACAGCTTTACCTTTGAGTAAGAGTCAACCAGAATTTGTAAACAAATAGTTATGTTTTTTTTTTTATTTTCAACTCAACTGAGCCGAGTTATAAAACAACAACTTAAGATTTAGGATAAGTTTTTGTAACTTTCTACACATATTTACTTTTAATCTGTGATGCTTTTGTTTGCATATGTATTATATTGCTGGAATCTGCCATAAAATCCGATAAAAATGCTGAAGTTGTTTCAATTCCAACTCAACTCAGCCGCGTTGTAAACCATAATAACGAACTTAGCATACATTTTTGCAACTTAACATACAGGTGTACAATAGACTTGTGTTGTTTTTCTTAGCATATGTTGCTAAGACCACAATTTGACTTCCATTTTCTAGGCAATCGAATTGGCAAAAAGTAAGCCACGTGCAACCAACTTAAGACTGCGGTCTATCTAAAAAAAACACGTTACCATGCAATATCTAGAGACACTTGCAATTCATTTTGCGAAGTTAACCGAAAATTTGTCAATCACTATGAAAACGTTATTGCTGCGAGCAACTTCAAGTTTGTAATTAGTAGTATTTACTAGCGCAATACTAAACACTCGAAACATGTAATTAATGCTAATAAATGTGTTTTGAGTACTAGTCGCAGTGCAGACTAATTAAAAATACGGAAATATATTAAAGAAGTGTCGTAAAAATCGCTTAAAATTAGTGGTTATATCTCTTAAAATACATAAATCTTTAAGTTCAATATAAATAGATGCATGCATTGCATTATGTTTCGTTGCACAAGCTAATTTGTTTACAAACACACGTTTATATTGACAGCTGATAACGTCGTAAAAATAACCAGTTACATTTTAGTTATTTTTTTTTCCCCCCCCGACAGCAAAAGTAATGTACACACCTCATTACATAATATTTAATCTCAATTTAAATCGCTATGTGAACTATTTGTTATGCCTGCCATGAATAATAACGAAAACAAGTGGAGCTTATGGCAAATGTCAAGTGATATAGAAGTTTATGAGTAGGTGTTGCTTATCAAGATATTGCATACATTACCAGAAGTAATGCGATTGGTTAATTAACTGTTGGTAAGCTAGGAAAAAATGCAAATTTATGGTTGTAATAGGGGATATAAGGAAATGTGTACTGATTCATTTTGCCTATGCATAATAGAATTGTTTTGTGTGGTTTGGTTAATGCGATGCTAAGAGATTTTTAGACATTTTTATGTCCAGCGCAACGTCTTCAGTATAGGTATTATGACTTTGACAGCTTACGAAGTACTAAGCAAGGTACTTAGACTAGGAAAAACTTTTCTTAGGAGACTTTAGAATACAAAAATATACACATTTTTTACTTCTTAGAATATTTCTACAAGAATTTCGTTGAGGAATTGGTTGGAGACAATTTTTTTAAAACTCGGACTAGTTTCAAAATCTACGTTCATTGAAGAAACATATTGCTTATATACAGTAGTTATTATCAAACAACTAAAAATATATCTACCATAAAAAGTTCTAATACTATATATAGTATGTAATCTACCACAATTCCAAAATATGGTTTTATAGATGGACAGCAGTGTTTACTATATTTATGGGTTACGTCGAGATTTGCTCAAGCAAAAATTTTTCGAGATGCAACATGATGTTTGATTAAATTGTGCAGCTTCGTCCGGCCAATGATTATCGGATGGCGGTTAAGGCAGATTTCGACGGTATAAATGAAATATTATTGCATATTTTATTATATAACACGTTGCATTAAACCGTTTCGAAGCACAAACAGTTTCAAATCATGGCTTCTGCTGTTTCGATTGCGGAAGATATCATTCCCCATATAATTTTTGAGGAGTGCTGGTGAATCGACAGTTTTCGAACAAATAAAAATTCGCATTTTTTTCGGGTACGTATGTCTCACAGTCATGGGAACGGTTCATGATATTGTGGTTTTACATGCAAATCTTAAAAAACATTTTGAATCATATGATATTTAAAATCTGTAGAGAAAGTATAAATTGCGAAAGAAATTAAATAACTGTATCCAAAGTTTGAAATGAACAGTATATAGTTTTTCGTTATTTTAACGATAAAGTGAATGTATAATATCTAAACGGATAATTTTCACTCTTCATTCAAAAGCACTATCTTAAACTCATCTTGGAACAAAAGTCAAGACTTCCATGGCTTCCATGAAAATATTTTTCTTAACTCACGAAATTACTTTGAAAAAACAAAAACTACGTTCGTTGCCTGTCATGCGTTGGGTATAACAAGTCCATTAAGAGCTAAACGTCAAGTGTTATGCGGCATATCAGTTGCAACTGGATTAAATCGTATCAACTGATGTAATTACAGCATCAAATTGCACACATTCAGTCACTTCACAATCAAATAAAGCGTCTACCAATAGGTATGATGTGATTTTGACAGCTCGTGGAGGCCATGTTTGTCTACGGATTTGTATCAAATTTTGTCGGTTTGTTCAGTAAGGTTTTCTATTTCATAATGACATCTTTTACTTGGGAACGAATATTCACGTTATCCGAAAAACCATCTTCTCGAATGGGAACCATTTTTTGCTTATTTGCTTCGTCAACAAACCAAATTGTCTCTATTGAGATGAGTAAAATCTTCTTGTAGTTTAGGAAACGCAATTGAATTTCCAAAAATTTACCGCTAATGGAGCTCGAAGACATCATTCAGCGCACCAAAGCCGAAATACTGCACTGCGCCTACAAAACTTAGCGTAAGCGACTGGAGATGTGCAAATGGAGCGGTGGTGGCCAATTGTAAAACAAAAAAAACAGAACCCATTTTGACCAAATTTGTGTTTTTTATTTCATTTTTTCAAGACGTCATTCTTGTTAGCAGACCCTGTATGTCATTTGGTAAGCCAGCGCCACTTGAAAAATTGTGCGGAAAGACTGTGGTTTGAGATGACGCCCGCTTATAATAATTTTCTAGATTTTATCATATCTCACATTTTGATTTATTGAAGCTTTTATTGAACTTGGAACACGTGCCGTTCAAGCAACCATTTTTCAATAAATAAAATAAAGCAAATCGTGTGAAACTAGCCGACTATAATATTATATATAAATATATACATATATAAATATTTAAATGTGTATTACACACATTCAATAAGTCAAAGGTATAAAGTCTAAGTTGTGCAGTCAATCAATATAGTTTCGTAAGGCATTATTTTTGTACAGGGAGCTTGACATGTGAGAGCTACATTGTTGTGTTTGTATTACGTGCTTCGAAAATATGTCACTTTGAATAATAATAAAATAGCATTTATTTATTTTACTTAATAACACGTTCAGCACCGATTTCGTTATTAATTTAGAGTTTTTTTGTCACAAATTTTTACAACTAAAGAGAATTATGTAAAAGACAGGATATATTTTCTTCCGATATTTAAACATAAATATTATATTTCTTATATTTCTTAATAATATATTAATTCTTATATAAGTAATATTCAGTTATCATATAAAAAAATATTCAATCTTTTAGATGAACCCACGATGGCTACTACTCTGTCTAGCGGCATTGCTGATGCCCATCACGTCAACTGCTTTCAATATTCTCTTTATGGGTCCTTTCCCAGCGCCCAGTCACTGGATGTGGTTAGAACACTTTCTGCGCGATCTGCTGCAGCGTGGTCACCATGTAACGGCGCTCACAAATCATCGCGCAAAATATGTACATCCGAATTTGACAGAGATCATCATCGATCCGCAATTCAATATACCGCATTATTGTAAGAGAAAAAGCTACAATTACAAAAGTAATTACTTTTCATATAAAAATAATTTTTGCTCCCCAAACTTTTAGTTCCCAAAGAGAATATATTCAAAATGCGTTACTCCAGCGATTTTCAAAACTTACAGATGTGGTTCCATGTTGGCTTGCTCACCAGCGAATATGCGCTCAACGATCCCAAGGTGAAAGCACTGATCGCCAGTACTGATCGGCATTTCGATCTAATCATTTTGGAGCAATTCTTCCATGAGAGTTTTCTGATGTTTGCGCACAAATTTAAATGTCCTGTTGTGACGTTGGGCACTATGGGTTATGCGGACAATATGGATCATACGATGGGCTTACTCACACCTTGGTCTTTTATACCACATCTATTACTCTCACATACTGATCAGATGACCTTCACGCAACGTGCTTACAATACGTATCTATCATTGTACGACGCTGTGATGAGACGCTGGTATTATATGCCTAAAATGCAGGAGATGGCCGAGCGGCATTTCGCAGGACTGGTAGAGGGTCCATTGCCACATGTGCGACAATTGGAGAAAAATATTTCGTTGATGTTGATCAATAGTCATCGTAGTTTGGATGTGCCGCGTCCCAGCATGCCCGGACTCGTAAATGTCGGTGGTGTACATATAAAAACACCCAAGCCACTGCCACACGATTTACAGGTTTGTCACAGAAACTAAATTTTAGACCACCGCTTATTGTGCTATTTACTCTATTTGTAGACTTATCTGGACAACTCTACCCACGGTGTGGTGTACTTCAGTCTCGGTTCTTATATGAAGAGTATAGATATGCCTAAGGAAAAAATCAACTTGATACTCAACGCCTTCAGTCAGCTGAAACAGAATGTTTTGTGGAAATTCGAGAATTCTTCTATTGGTCATCTGCCGCCGAATGTGAAAATCCAGAGCTGGTTGCCACAAAACGATATACTGGCACACCCAAATATCAAGGTGTTCATCACGCATGGTGGCATCTTTGGCACGCAAGAGGGCATCCACTGGGGTGTGCCGATGTTGAGCATACCGCTTTATGGCGATCAACACCGGAACACGATCAAATCGGTGCGTGCTGGCTATGCGCGCACTTTGAACTTCGGTCAAATGTCGAGCGAAGATCTGCTACAGAATATACGATTGCTCATCAGTGATGGCAGTTATAAGCAGAAGGCGCTGGAAGCATCGCGCAAATTTAGAGATAATCCAATGCATCCTTTGGACGAGGCTTCATTCTGGATCGAATATATTGCGAGGCACAAGGGTGCGCCACATTTGAAATCTTACGGCGCTTATATGCCACTGTATCAGTACTTGTTGTTGGATGTGTTTGGTTGCGCGCTATTGGTAGCTTTCTTAGCGATTTGGTTCCCGTTGAAAGTTCTCAAATTTTTGGGAAGTTTGTTGAGGCGAAAAGAGCCTGAAGAGTCACATAAAAAGCGTCAGTAGAGCTGTGATCAAAGTTTTTCTATGAAAAATAATATTAGTTTTAGAAAATTTAGTTTTACATGTAAAAATACGAATTAATTATAAGTTGGAGAAATTTTATTAAACAAAAAATGATGTTATCGACATTGAGCTGTTTTGAAAATTTTTGTTTGAGAGATATTACTTACTTCTTTAATGGTGTGGGAAATGTGAAATCACAAGGCGCTATCCAGTGATTCTACCCTCAACGTTGGCGTCGTGGCGCATGACTACTCTTGTTAGAACTTTTTTGGTTAATCTACATATCTCTGTAAAAAATCGACAAGACAGCTCTCACGCTCTGATTTTCAGACAGATGATACGTAGGTTGTCTTAAATTCGAGATTCGACAACCTTAATTTTGAAATCTGGCAACTCGTAACTTGATTGTAAAATTCATGTCTTTTACTTGACTTATCATTTGTGCCGTTTACAGTAACTTAAAATATTCTTTTCGATGAAAATGTAGAACTAAAAATTTTCGTACGATTATTTTTTACAACTATAGACGTGGATTAACTCAGCAACTGTACATCGATGAATTTTTGGCGAAAGAACTCTATCAGCTCCATCAAAGACGAGTGTTTATCGTTGGTATGGTGAATTAAGTCGATGTCGTTGATCACTCTAAGATGAATTTTGTGAATGGCTTCCAAAATCAGTGGTTTTTCGGGAAACTATTTTTCTGTACGCAAACTAATATTGAAACGACATCAGGTGACCTATCGTGAGATTGAGACAGTTATGTAGTAAATATTACTAGGACCAGCACACGTTCAACATTGCAGGAACATTAGACAGTAAAAAAATGTTCACGTTGGATTCCACCAATCGCTCAAAAAAAGGTTCGTGTCGATTGGTCGAGAGAAATTATAACAAAATACGTTAAGTCCAAAAGTAAACAGCAGTCAACCATATGGATGATTCCAGATGAACCGATTCCAACGCAGAACAGTAAATTTTGGAGTGGCAGATAACCATTTGCTTTCCAGTTGTCTTCCTAGAAATTAAGAAAATCAACCACCAAAAACAGATCACTTTCCATCATGACAATGTCAGTTCTCACACATCGACTGATGCAAATGCAGTTTTAAGCACTCAGAAAAACAATTTCAAGTGTCATCCTCCGCATATTCCTGACTTAGTACCGAATAACTTCTTTTCATTCCCTCAGGAAAAAAATAAACAAAGAGGTCAATGTTTTTCAACATCTTAAGAGGCGGTTGATACGTTCAGAGGACATGTTTTGGAGCCACTTGACGTGAGAGTGCAAAGAGAGTGCTTCGACAATTGGTTCAAACTCATGCAAAAGTAACTAGATCTTTATTGAGAATAAAAAGTAATCATCGGATGAATATAAAGAGATCTTTTTCTGGTTTATAATTCTACATTTATCGCATAATTCGTGACTTTTAAGCAAGCTGCTTGCTTCGAGCGAGTTGATACCTCAAACAAGGCACAAGAATAGACTATGTTTCAAAAAGTTGTGTCTGCTCGAAAAAAAAAATGTTTTTTTAGTATTAACCTGGCTTATAATTATTTTAACATGCCACTCCCAAAAAATCGGTTTACTGTGGAAATCAATTAATTTAACTACAGCTCGATCTCCTAAGTTTGAAAATAATTTCCTTTTCGATTTTTGAAATATAAAGGAAAAAGTAGTCTACAAAATTAGCCTTTTTTACTAATGAGCTCTACACGTGTTAACTGCTTTCTGATGTTAATTTAATTAAACTAAAAAACCGCTGAGTGTAAAAGCAATTAAAATATAGCTATTTTTAAATTTACACAACAAAATATGTATGTTTCTGTGACAACGCATGTGGTTTGCGATTTGTTGAGGCAATTTGTTGTGGTATCTTTCGACTTTCATTGAACCATCATTTCACAATGATCTTTTCACTGAAGCATTATTTCCATGAAACCGATAGGGTTCTCGGATAATGAGAAAGCTACGGAGAAAGTTCATTTGCTTCGGCGTTCTAGAACTGTGCTGTAATGATGCTCATTGAAAAGTTTTTTTTTTTAAATGTTGTCAAACAAAAAATACAGGAAATTTTTCAAAGATTCTCTGAGAGGATTTTAGAAAATAAAAATTTAGTAAAACGAAATTTTTAACATGACTATCTAAGAAGTTTGCGATATATTTTATACGATCGCTTCGAACAACTATTTGTTCAAAGTAAAAAATTTGCTCATAGAAGTATCTTTTCGGTAATGAACGTCGTAAAATGCCGAAAACTTCTCCCTAAATGCTCTTAAACTATATTAAGTTGGCAAGCTATATAAAAATACGACAATCACGCTATTCCAAGAGCAAGATCATATCGGTATAAAAGTCAGATCTCGCCGCTGCTACAGAACAAAGTCCACTAGGTTACTAAGTTGGTGATGCCAACAAATTCGGATCAAGTGCAATTATTTGCATGAAAGTATTTATTTGAGCCATAGAACCTTGACACCATTTTATCACATCACGAAACTCAATGAAAAAACGAAAGTTTAATTAGAAAAACTAATTGAAAATTTGCTTCAGTTTATTCTCTCTCTCTTCAAGTTATTAGCACGCCGTCACTCTCATAAGGTTTCTGCACGTTTGATCCGCTTCGCATTTTTTGCTGTAATCATTTTGGGCTTAACAAATTTTGGCAAGCATTTCTTGCAAATGTAAAATAAGCGGTCAACGTAAAGACATATATACATATTTACATACATAAAATAAACAGTTAACAAAGGGCAACGAACCAAAACAGCAGCGCAGCAGTGATTCACGCGGTTAAGCTATTGCAAAATTATATTATATACCAATAGATTAGATTAAGGGGTCCCGGTGGTCTAGAATTTTCAAAAATCGATTTTAGAATATACTGTAAAATTTTTGGAAGGATATTCATATTATTTTAGCTTCTACCCTTAAACTGGAAAAACTTAAGATTCCCCAGTGATATTATTACAACACCATGAATCATTGTTCATATTTGTGTGTGTAATTTACATTATTTATATGTGTGTGTTAATATGTTGTATTATTATTAAGTATTTAATGATATTGCCCAACGCGAAAAGCAGTTTCATTTTTGCCATCACTTTACGTTTTGTTCGATCGTGCGATTATGCAACTTCGACATCGCGATTCGTAAATCATTGCATATTTTTAGGCGCGTTTAGTTGAAGATCGTTTACAATAGTTTTTAGAACCAAATTATTTAGTACAGAGCAACTATTAAATTGATATAGAAATAATCAGACAGAATTGGTATAAAAGATAATATTAATAATAATTTATTAATTGAAAAATAGCCTTAGAGCAATATACTGGAATGATTGGTTATCACCATTCTATAGTGTTTTTGGTATTGAGCCTAAATCACGCAAAAAGGATCAATTCGTAACCTGAATTCTCATAGAAAAGCAAACGTGACGAGAGTTCAAAGCGTTGATTTAACAGGTTATGAAATGACTTAATGTTGACAGCTCGCGGTGGCCATTTTTGTATACGATTTTTTTTCAAAAACTTTTGTCAGTGTGTTCAGTAAGAACAATTAATAACGACAGGATATTGACCGACCGTTTTGCCAGGCTTTGATAAAATCGTTGTGGATGGACCATATTTCGGTAGTCTTTCTCACTCTTCAAGTCTAAACAAGAATACATTGGGTGCAAACGTTTTGTGACTTGCTAATATCGAGAAATGGGCCAGTCAAATGGTCCTCAGGATCAACCGACTTGACGCCTTTAGATTATTTTCTTTGGGGGTATTTTATGTCAAAGGTCTATGCCAATTAACCTCGAAGCGCAAACAACATTCAGCGCACTATGGCCGAAATTCAAGTCGAAATGCTGCACTGGGTCATTGAAAGTATCCATAAACGGATGAACGTATGCAACGGCTAATTTCGAAATAATTTAGTTGTAGGTAGGTAGATAGGTAGAGTACCTGTCTGACCACGCACCTAGGCTTTTAGGAGGCCAATTATGATAAATATTCCTTCACTCTATTGTCTCCTCTCTGAACCACCCTGCTGCTGTTGGGATTCATCATTAAAAGAAATTTTGTCTTAACTTTAACATTTTTCTTGCCTTATGAATAATATTAAATATATATTTCAAATGTCTTTGTGAGGCTTTCCAAAACGAAGGTCCTTACAAAATTGCATAGTGGGTATAATTATGGTATTAATATCGAGCTGCAATTCAGAACGTTGTTATTATATTGTTATTTGTATTTAAATCCATGAAAAAATCCATCATGAAAAGAAGCCTATGTATGTACATATAAAACATTCTTATTTAAGTAATGTAAATAAATTTTATTGTTTCATTGACGCGTCCCATTTTCCGCGCATTATTTGTTGGAGCTTTTATAAGTGAAAAAAATTATAATAATAAAACTTCTTGAATATGTTGTCATTTACTTATAACCGTAGTAAAAGATAAAGAGCGTAAAAAACGCGCTCGTCAACGCAACTTTTCCTATCTGCCGATGGGGCAAGCTTCATTAAGAACTTGAGTTTTGAGACCGATGGTGTGTGAATGAGTGTAAATTAAGTACTGCAGCTAATAATAAAAAGCGCTGATTTATCCAAGGTATTAAACAAATTTATTGAAAACATAAA